ATGTGTATATGGGTATATTATAATAATAATATATACATGTATGTATGTATATGTATATTATATATATTATATATGTATATATGTGTATGTATATATACACATATATGTGTGTGTATATACATGTATATATGTACATTATGGTATATGTGTAAGTAAGTTTAATAATAATAATATATGTTATTAATTTTACAATATAATATATGCATTTTATACATTGGTGAGCATTGGGACTAGCTAATCCTCCCTTTCCACATGGGATTAGTAGTCCCCTCCTAAGGAGGTGTTTTTGGTGGGCCCGGTATTAGCAATCCCATCTAAGATTAGGATTAGATAAAACAAACATGATACTAAATTTAGTCCAAGCCAGTCCAAGCCAATCTTGTGTAACAAACGAGCCCTTTTCTTACTCCATACAGATGAATCAATATTTCCAATCTGAAAGCAACACCGTCATCTTCAAGCCGACCCAATGAATGATATGTTTTTAAAAGCTAGTCAACTTTATCCTTTTGTTTTTAATTCAGTCTTCAAAATATAACCATTAGCTCGAACTTCTCTCTTCTTTTTTATTTTTTCCTCTTTCGTAAATTATAGAATAGTACGGTATTACCACGTCAGCTGGTAGTACTTCCATTCAAAATTTGACATGTGTATTATTTTTATAAGAAATTAAACTTTTTGTTCCAGCTGTATTTGAAACTCCAATTTTACCCTTTAAATTAAAAATATTAAAAGAAATATAAGAGAAAATGTTCCAGCAACAATCGCTCGCCCTCAATCTCACTGTCGTGCCGTCGCTCTGCCTCCCATGGCTGCCGCCCCCATCCTCTTATTTCATTCCTCTGTTTCTGTATTTTTGCAATCAGATCACATCCCATCATTGCCCTTCTCCCCAATTGTGCCAAGCAAGCTCCTTTCTTCAACAAACAATACGGTGTAGAAGACCCAAATCCCATTTCAATTTGTTAATCAGGTGCATAGCAATTTGCCCAATCCTGCAAGCATCAAACCCATAGTAGCAAGTCTTTCAATCACGTTGTGTGTGTTAGACATGAAGATATTATTACGAATTTGGTCACTTCGCCTGCCCTTCGTCTCTTTCCCTGAAACTGCAACTTCTCTTTAACCCATGGAAGCACCTGCAAGATCTCTAATCATTGCAAACGGGTCCATATTCAAACAAAGAGGCTTTAATCATTATCAAATTGAAATACTAATTTACTGAAACATTTGAATGAACATCGAGTAATGGAAAGACAGAGAGGGAGGGCCATCGGGTGATGGTGTCAGTGCGATGGTAGGGGTTGTTTTCATTTTCTCTGTTTTTCTAACAATTTTTTTAATTTTGTTGTGAAGGGTAAAATTGGAGTTGCAAATCCAACTGGAACAATAGTTTAATTTCTTATAAAAATAATACACATGTCAAATTTTGAATGGAAGTACTACCAAATGACGTGGTGATACCGTACTATTCTATAGTTTCTCTTCGTGTAGGACTCGTACAGCCCAACCTTTGTCGAAATTTAAGAGTATATGATTGAATAGAAGCAAATTTTAGTGTTTAAATAGTATTTTCTCACCTACGTAATAATATGAAGAGCAAAATTTTACTCTCCCCAGCAGCAGTTCTTCAAGTGACGAGGAAAAGAAATCAAACTTTTAATAAAATGACGATGAACCTGTTGAAATTGCTCAAAGGATTATTTTTCATCTCACAAATAAATGCTACAGCTACTATGATAAATTAAAGAAAAAATTAAAATTGATCATAAATCTATAAACATGTAACTTCCCGTCCCAAATTATAAATTTTATTTTCGAAATTTTAACATGATTTGACGGTTTTGCTCCTAGGGTTTTTAAGTGGGTTAGGGTTCACATTTTATTTGGGACTAGTTTTGAATTTTCTTTTCTTTTCGCACCATTGTATAGAGCTCGAGCCCACGAGTCCGTAGACACGTAGTGGACTCGAATTGGAGTTAAAACGGAAGTGTAGTGGCCCAATGGGCTGGAGAACATTTTTCTTCTCTTTCCCCT